GAACTAGAAGGTTTATAATAGATTTAAAAACAACAAAGGCTTGGAGCTTCTTAAAATATGCTTCATTGATTTTACCATCTTGGTAGACTAACACTACATGAGGTAATTTGCTTGTATCTAGTATGTAGCTGGGAGAGAGGGTTAATTAGCTTCACAGCAAGCAGTTGTGTGTAGGACTAACACCTACAAAGGGGGATTGGTTAACTAAATTACAGCATGTCCATATACTAAAATTTCACACAACCATTAAGGATGTTATTTTAGAAACACAATGAATTACACGGGAAAATATCCACACATTATTATATGGATAAAGCAGATGATAAGACATATATACTCTAAGATCCTCTTTTTGCAAAGTAAGTCAATTAACAATGCTTGGGATGAGGAAAAAAAAAAAAAAAGACCAGAAGGATAAATACCCAAATTTTAAGACAGTAATTGCCTCTTGGTGGTGGTAGAATAAAAAGAGTTATAAATTTTTTTCTTTGCTGTGTTTTCTTATTCTTTTTGCATGAACACAGAGTACTTTTTAATAAAATGAAACTTTTTTTCCTAATTACAAATAACCCAAATATAAAATGAAAAAAATTTTAAATGGTAACTTACATTCTAAGGTTCAGAAATGACAATGTTACTGTTACTAAAATAACTTACTAGTTTAAGAAAAAGTCCCATCCCCCTTTACCACCCAAAATGAACAGTCCCCGCCACATTAAATTTACAGAATGTTTAAAATAAGTTGATAAAAATGAATTAAAAAATGAATCAAAAGGCTTGATAAGGTAGCAGCAGTATTCTAACTCGGCTTGCAGCAGGAGCTGGAAACGCCCACCAAACCAGCTTATCTCTGTGCTTAGATAAGCTTCAGAAGATTGGTCATGGGCTTAAGAAAAACATTTATTAATATCTGAACACATGATTTTGAGCTAACGTTTTACAACATGACTTTACCTGAAGCAGTGCAATAAAGAGAAAAAATGAATTAGCGGCTCTTCTGAACTGAGAGTAGAGAAATCTTGGAAGGAATGTGATTACGTTATATTTTGCAGTGCTAGAAAACAAAAATGAAAAGCAGCATAAAAGTCAATTACTCCACAATTAGCACCCATGCTTACAAAATTCTATTATCGCCATATAAAAAATTAAATGATGAACAAATGCTCTCTGTTTTAAATCGGGAGAATACTGCAAATGGTCATTAACCTCAAAGAAAAGGAGTGAAAGGAACTGTCTAAATAGTAAGAGTTTAATTTTCTGCACAATATCTTTTGTTATCTTTGGCCAATCATCCTGTTATCATTACTAGCAACAGCTTACAAAGAAGAGCACCTTTAATTAAGATAATGTATAATATGTTAATAGAAAATAAAATCTTGCAAAAAGAAAAATCAGCAATTTGAGCAAGACCAGAAACATCAAATAAAGGGACTTCCCTGGATAACGTCAGAGAAATGGGGAGTTTTGGGGGGTTCTGTCTGAATTTTCTTCATGTCTCCTTTAGAAACTTGGCTAGGACTCCACACCAAACATCAGATATGTCCACAATCAGGAAGATATCACCATTTAAGTCTCAGAAATATCCAACCTTCCTCTTGTTAATTAAATAGAAAGGAGATTAAAGGGACACATGCCACACTCCTTAAGCTCAGAAAAGTTACTGTATAATTTGAAGGTGTAAATATTAATTTTAAACGGTCATTTCACAAATCTAGGAGTTTTGTCACCAGAAAACTACTGGTCTGACGTGTGGCGGGAAGGGGGCTGGTGTTCACTTGGTTCCGGAGGCCACTTAGTGAATAGTGCTTATAACAGCAATAGTTTTACGTTATTGTTGGAATGAAAATAGAACAGTGAAGTAATTCTCACACCTTCCATTCCTCGACACCATATGAAATTTTGCAAGTATCGAAAGCCAATATTTAAAGACTATTTAACAAAAAGGAGTTCTAAGTGAAGAACTGCAAAGACTTCTCTTAAAAGGTGAAAACTTGTTCATCAAAAACAACAGTTCAGGGCTTCCCTGGTGGCACAGTGGTTGGGAGTCCGCCTGCTGATGCAGGGGGCGCGGGTTCGTGCCCCGGTCCGGGAGGATCCCGCGTGCCGCAGAGCGGCTGGGCCCGTGAGCCGTGGCCGCTGGGCCTGCGCGTCCGGAGCCTGTGCTCCGCAGCGGGAGAGGCCGCAGCGGTGAGAGGCCCGCGTACCGAAAAAAACCAAAACAAAAAATAACAACAGTTCATGGGCCTATTAACAGGTTTAAGGCAAAGGCACATACCCATGAACAGTTTTCATTATTCAGATACTGTAACTAGAACTGGTAGCATACATATGGCTGCTTAGCCCTTCTCCTTCCTGCTTCTAGATTCTGTTGTTTGTTTGTTTGCGGTACGCGGGCCTCTCACTGCCGTGGCCTCTCCCGTTGCGGAGCACAGGCTCTGGACGCGCAGGCTCAGCAGCCATGGCTCACGGGCCCAGCCGCTCCTCGGCATGTGGGATCTTCCCGGACCGGGGCACGAACCCATGTGCCCTGCATCGGCAGGCAGACTCTCAACCAGTGCGCCACCAGGGAAGCCCTCGGGAAGCCCTCGGGAAGCCCTCTAGATTCTTATTAACATCTCCTTCTTGGCTAGAAGATGGAGAAACAGCTGATACACACTGCCTCCAGTAAGCTCTTAAATATTAAACTGATTTAACTGAAAGCTCCTTGCAAGCATTTTCATTTTGGTCTGCCAGGGGAGATGTCCTCCCAAGTTCTGCTGTAATAGCTAGTCCCAAGCATTCTTTGGTAGTTCTTACCTGACATGGTTATTGCAGAATTTTGTCAGCTGGGGCTGGTTGATGAATATAGTCCTTACTTCCTCCTGGTCAGCCAGTGAAGTCTTCTCTGAAACATCATCAGTCTTCTCATAACCTTAAAGAGAGAGAGTCTTATTTGATAAGAAATGTTTCATTTTATTATCGAGACCAAAAACACATTTCATAACTATCCTAGAGCCTAAAATCTGTTAAAAGCTATCTACTTCCCTGTTATTGGTGTTGCTTCTATTCTAATAAAAGGAAAAATCCCCACATTTAACGTTTCTACTAAATTTGAAAGGCAGCACTTAACAGTCATGTAAAAGCTGACCCATTTCAAAAAGAGTAACATCAATTTTTAATTTGTACCCATCTTTTCCCCAGAAATGTTCAACTTATTTCCTTTCATTACATAAAAATATGTCCAAAAGTAACACAAAATTCTAAAATGGTTTACACTTTTAGATAAGACTTACAAGACAGAGGTAATGACAATACATTCTGAAATTGTAAGCATACACATTTAATGCTTTTCTGGTTTTGTACTTTCTTTGTGAATAAAAACAGAGAAAAAGATAAACATTAAGGTTTAAATAGGCAACCACCACAATGATCTAACTCACTAAGATCATCTTAATCTTTCCAGTAATTAGAATTTATGTTTATGAATGATCTTAAGTTTCTTAAGATCAAGTCACCTCACCATCACTGAAACAACGTAAATAGATACGGGCAATTTCTGCTGGGTAACACCTTGCTGCAATGTTGACAACACTTTTAAAAATACATACAGCTTCTAGAAGAACAGAAAAAATTTTAAACTGCTTATTTTACTTTCCAGTGAGAATTAAATGAGACTGAATTAAATCAGTCCCTTACCCCTTTCCTCGAGTCACCAACAGTACTTTATCCCAAATACCCACTTTTCTTCTCTTTTCTGCCTAGTCAGTGCCAACTCCTCCCAAAAGACCTGCCAACAGCGATCTCTTCTGAAGTATTCTCTGGTGCTAAAGTCAGTGCACCTTCACTATGTTCCCACAGGCCTCTGTACCTCCCCTGTCCCTTGAGTCTGTCTCCTACCAGAATGGAACTCCCTGGGGCCATAGCTGGGGTGCTACTTATCTTCCAATACCAGTACTAACAAACAGCAGGTACTCAATAAATGTTTGCCAAATAAATAAAAACTAAATGACAAAGGACTTGTTATGTGCCCATTTCTTTGAGAGCAAGCAAATGATTCTCCACCCACTGATAAAGAAACTGATGACAGCCATGTGCTGGTAACAAACTGTACAATAAATGCTTGCCTGTGGGGTTCCGTTACCCTATGAAACCAGAAAATCATAGGAGCTTCCTACAAAGGTGGGGAACATGAGCATAGGGACCTGGAAGGTGAGAAACAGTGTAACTGTGTGCAGGGCAGTGCAAACAGGACAACACTGCTGAAGAATACACAAAAGGCAAGGTAAAGACAGGTGAGATACAGGGCTGACGAAGCACACAGGCCAGGTTTAAAAGGACCTCTCATGCTTGTGAAGAAGTCTGGATCACATCCTCTCGTCGGTAGTGAGCCAATGAAAGCTTGCCAAGGAGAGAGGCACAGAGTGAGAGCCACATTTTATACTCATCACTTTGGAGGTCACATGGATCCAAACTAGGTACTGTCACACTCATTTTGCAGTCTTAGACACATTAGCAGCTTTGCCCATGGTCACATGGTTAATAATTATGTCACTACACCATGCTTTAGACGCAACACAAACTTTCCTCCCTAGTGTATACAATCAAAATTCCATACAGGGATTGCTAAAGACTGAATGTTTATGTCTCCTCCAAAATCCATGTGTTGAAATCCTAACCCTGGTAGTGATGGTATTAGGAGGAGAAATTTTTTCGAGGTGATTAGGTCATGATGGTGGAATCCTCATAAGAGGGATTAGTGCCCCTTTTAAAAGAGGTCCCAGAGAGTTCCCCCTCCCATCCCCCCCACCATGTGAGGACACAGCAAGAAGATGGTCCTCTATGAACCAGAAGGCAGGCCCTCACCAGACACCTAATCTGCCAGGGCCTTGATCTTGGACTTCCCAGGCTCCAGAATTGTGAGAAGTAAATTTATTATTCATAAGCCAGCCAGTCTATAGTATTTTATTAAAGCAGCCTGAACAGACTAAATCATGGATTATTAAACAGAGGCACAGCAATATTAAAATTCTTAGAAATCTTTTATTAGATTTTCCTTGATGACAGCACAAAGACCGTAGTGTACTGTTTACAGTACCTTAACTGGACAAAGTGCCTCAAGAAAACCAGCTCTCCACTCTGCTTTGAACTGATATCCTCAAGCTGTACTTACTTTACGTTAACTGGATGTGCTCAGCTGAGGTGTTAGGTGTCACTCCTTACCTGACATATCCATTTATTCTGGGGTTTCAAATGCTGCCAGGTAAACCTGGACATCACCTCTCCCCATCACGTATGAATCTGTATTCGAGAATTTCCTGGGGCAAAGGACCCTCCTAGGAAAAAGGGATTGGAATCGCCTCTTTCCTTAAATTTTGGTCTCAAACTTCTGGGTTAGAGGTGAACACATCCCCTATAACCGATCAATATGCACCAGACAACTCTGTTTTTATGCTTCTTTTTTTTTCTTTTAAAAGTGTTCTCTGCAGGAGATTGGTTCAAGGTGGCAGAGTAGAAGGACGTGCTCTCGCTCCCCCTTGCAAGAGCACCAGAATCACAACTAACTGCTGAACAATCACTGACAGGAAGATGCTGGAACTCACCAAAAAGATACCCCACATCCAAAGACAAAGGAGAAGCCACAATGAGATGGCAGGAGGGGCACAATCACAATAAAATCAAATGCCATAACTGCTGGGTGGGTGACTCACAAACTAGAGAACACTTATACCACAGAAGTCCACCCACTGGAGTGAAGGTTCTGAGCCCCACGTCAGGCTTCCCAACCTGGGGGTCCTGCAACGGGAGGAGGAATTCCTAGAGAATCTGACTTTGAAGGCTAGCGGGATTTGATTGCAGGACTTCGACAGGACTGGGGGAAACAGAGGCTCCACTCTGGAGGGCACATACAAAGTAGTGTGAGCACGGGGATCCAGGGTAAGGAGCAGTGACCCCATAGGAGACTGATCCAGACCTACCTGCTAGTGTTGGAGGGTCTCCTGCAGACGTGGAGGGTGGCTGTGTCTCACCTTGGGACAACAACACTGGCAGCAGAAGTTCTGGGAAGTACTCCTTGGCGTGAGCCCTCCGAGAGTCCGCCATGAGCCCCACCAAAGAGCCCGGGTAGGCTACAGTGTTGGGTTGCCTCAGGCCAAATAACCAACAGGGAGGGAACCCAGCCCCACCCATCAGCAGACAAGCGGATTAAAGTTCTCCTGAACTCTGCCGACCAGAGCAACAGCCAGCTCTACCCACCACCACTCCCTCCCATCAGGAAACTTGCACAAGCCTCTTAGACAGCCTAATCCACCAGAGGGCAGACAGCAGAAGCAAGGAGAATTATACTCCTGCAGTCTGTGGAACAAAAACCACATTCACCGAAAGACAGACAAAATGAAAAGGCAGAGGGCTATGTACCAGATGAAGGAACAAGATAAAACCCCAGAAAAACAACTAAATGAAGCGGAGATAGGCAACCTTCCAGAAAAGGATATCAGAATAACGATAGTGAGGATTATCCAGGACCTCAGAAAAAGAATGGAGGCAAAGATTGAGAAGATGCAAGAAATGTTTAACAAAGACCTAGAAAAATTAAAGAACAAGCAGAGATGAACAATACAATAGCTGAAATGAAAAATACACTACAAGGAATCAATAGCAGAGTAACTGAGGCAGAAGAACGGATAAGTGACCTGGAAGACAGAATGGTAGAGTTCACTGCTGTGGAACAGAATAAAGAAAAAGAATGAAAAGAAATGAAGACAGCCTAAGAGACCTCTGGGACAACATTAAACGCAACAACATTCGCATTATAGGGGTCCCAGAAGGAGAAGAGAGAGAGAAAGGACCAGAGAAAATACTTCAAGAGATTATGCTCGAAAACTTCCCTAACATGGGAAAGGAAATAGCCACCCAAGTCCAGGAAGCGCAGAGAGTCCCATATAGGATAAACCCAAGGAGAAACGTGCCGAGACACATAGTAATCAAATTGGCAAAAAATAAAGACAAGGAAAAATTATTGAAAGCAACAAGGGAAAAAAGACAACATACAATGCAACTCCCATAAGGTTAACAGCTGATTTCTCAGCAGAAACTCTACAAGCCAGAAAGGAGTGGCATGACATATTTAAAGTGATGAAAGGGAAGAACCTACAACCAAGATTACTCTACCTGGCAAGGATCTCATTCAGATTCGATGGAGAAATGAAAAGGTTTACAGACAAGCAAAAGCTAAGAGAATTCAGCACCACCAAACCAGCTCTACAACAAATGCTAAAGGAACTTCTCTAAATGGGAAACACAAGAGCAGTAAAGGACCTACAAAAACAAACCTAAAACAATCAAGAAAATGGTAATAGGAACATACATATCGATAATTACCTTAGACATGAATGGACTAAATGCTCTAACCAAAAGACAGGCTCGCTGAATGGATAAAAACAAGATGCATATATATGCTGTCTACAAGAGACCCACTTCAGACCTAGGGACACATACAGACTGAGAGTGAGGGGATGGAAAAAGATATTCCATGCAAATGGAAATCAAAAGAAAGCTGGAGTAGCAATACTCATATCAGATAAAATAGACTTTAAAATAAAGAAGGTTACAAGAGACAAGGAAGGACACTACATAATGATCAAGGGATCAATCCAAGAAGAAGATATAACAATTATCAGTATATATGCACCCAACACAGGAGCACCTCAATACATAAGGCAACTGCTAACAGCTATAAAAGAGGAAATTGACAGGAACACAGTAACAGTGGGGGACTTTAACACCTCACTTACACCAATGGACAGATCATCCAAAACAAAAATAAATAAGGAAACAGAAGCTTTAAATGAAACAATAGGCCAGATAGATTTAATTGATATTTATAGGACATTCCATCTAAAAACAGCAGATTACACTTTCTTCTCAAGTGTG